GTGCGGTAATTATTCGACCTAAGGAAAAGGTATAAGCAACGAGACACATAGAGTGGACAAAATGTTATAAGTACCTTGTAGCTGTAGTATGATTTCTCTTCTTCATAGAGTTTATTAAATCGATTTTTTCATCACCAACTCGGTTTCTATCACAAGTAGCGACAATCCAACGAAAACGCCCTGCTATACAGCAATGTAGGCGATGTCTCGGTTTCCACGCCACAAGTGGGTGTTCTCGCGCGCCAACCTGCTGGAACTGCGGATCCACCATGCACTCGGCATTCGAGTTTAAGTCAGCCTCTAAATGTCGAAACTGCGGAGAGCCTCACCAATCTGGTAATCGATACTGTCTGGCGCGTCCCAACAGGTTTGGCCCAGCTACAAAGGAGCAAATTGTGACGATTCGACAAGCTGGCCAACGGGAATACCAAGCCGTCGCTAGGGCCATAGCTGCTACCAAGGCCGCTGAGGCTGCCATAGTTGCCGCTAGACCGCTCGACCAACTTCTCCAGCTGCTGTTAAGGACACATCGTCAATAGATACAGCAATGACTGAGGGTTCAGGCTTTTGGGCCTTGAACCCTGAAAAAACTTTGTGAAGGGCGCCCTACGGGCCCCTTCCCGCTCCCCTCCTACACCAATTTTTTTGTCAATAAACGTAGGCAGGGGCGGCCCAACCCACAACATTGTGCTCTCTAGAGCTTACGAGCTAGGCGTGGATGTTGTGTTGATTCAAGAACCTTGTTGGATCAAACAAACGAACGAAACCAAGTCACACCCAGGTTACCTCTGTCATATACCGTACGGAGGTGTGGATGTCAGACCGAGGGCGGTGACTTACACTCGGAAAAACGAAAAGGTGATATCGGCAGAGAAGATTTTCCCTTGTAATAGGCTGACCGGGGACTATTGCTGGGTACTGGTCAATGGAATCACATTTCTCAACGTGTATAAGGCCCCTAACGACCCGACTGAAGTCCGCACACTTATCGACTGGAAACCGTCTGCGAGGTCCATTGCAGCCGGAGACTTCAACTCAGTGCATGCTGCCTGGCAACTGGGAGCAACTCAACCTTATGGACAGGGTGATGAGATAGAGAGGTGGGCGGAAGACCACAATCTCTCTTGTCTTATAATTGGAGAGCCGACTCATAAAGCTGGCAATACTCTTGATCTCGCTTGGACTAACATATCGGGAGCCCGTGCTTGGGTCGTTAGAGAGGAGTGTATGACCAGCGACCATCTTCCGATCCGCGGAATCGTACCTGCAGCAACCTTCACCGGGAACCCGGGTCCATCGAAGATCAGAGTGCCCAAGAAGAATCTACCTAATTTTGCGCGTGCCGTTGCAAAGTGGGTACATCCTGCTATTGACTTGAGCACAACAGAGAAAGTGGACGAGTACGCCCAAGAAATATGCTTCCATCTCTCGGAGGCCATCAAAGCGACAGGAATCCGGGCCAGAAAGGAAAGCAGCAAATCTGCACCGTGGTGGACTCCTATGTGCAAATCCGCACACGCAGAATACCGAGCCGCAAAGACACCGACACAGCGGGCCACTGGCGCAAAGGAGGTTCGAGTGACCATCACAGCCGCCAAGAAAGAATACCAGACAAGCCAAGTGGAAGCAATGACATCACCGTCCGATATCTTCAAGCTGAAGCGTTCGGTAAACCATAGACAGGCCAAAGCCCCTCCGCCACTCAATCACAACGGAAAGTTCATCACGGACCCGTTAGAGCGAGCTACCATTCTCCGAGATGCCCTTCTTGCACGCCACCAACAATCGGACGACCTTCCGCCATGCAACACTTCAAGCGATAATCGAATACCCTGGGAAGGTGAAATCTCAGACGAGGAAGTGCGAACTTGCACAACCGGTTGCGAGAAGACAGCACCAGGGGCAGACGGAGTTACGGTTTAGCTCCTCGAGGCTTGCTGGAAGACGACCGGACCGTGTATTTTGCAGCTATTTAGAGCCTGTTCACGGCTGGGCACTCATCCTTCTTGCTTCAAGCTGGCAGAGGTGGTACTATTGGAAAAGCCAAATAGGCACCCAACTACGATTAAAGGCTAGAGACCTATAGCCCTCCTCTCGTGCATAGGCAAAGGGTTAGAAAGACTACTGGCCATGCGATCGGCGACGGACCTGGTTTCCTGCGTAGTTCATGACGTCGAAGAAGCACGCTCCCAGGGATGGGCCTCGATATTCGTCACTTTAGACGTCCAAGGAGTGTTCGATGCAGTGCTCCACAATCGCTTGGTTAGGCGCATGCAAGCCCAGGGATGGCCAGACTCAATCCTCCGGCGGACGACTTCATTCCTCACACATCAGAAGGTACAAGTGCGTTTCTCCGGCGGAGTCACTAACCATAGAGAGCTGGTATGTGGAGTCCCCCAGGGTTCACCAATTTCGCCATTACTATTTCTTCTGTATATGGCGGAGCTAATGAAAAGTGGTACCCCGGGATTGAAGTTTAGCTACGCCGATGACATTGGAATTCTAGGGTTTGGACGCACAATTGCTGAATCTGCCGCTGCTGTACAAGGTGAGACAGATCATCTTCTCGAATGGGCGCGGAATAATGCCGTCGACTTTGACACGGAAAAATCGGAAGTCATTCATTTCCCGGGACGACGCCGAGAGGAAGCAGTTGGTATTCATGTAAACGGAGCCCTTATCGAGCCTGCGGAAAATATTCGCTGGTTAAGCGTGAATCTGGATCCACGACTCAATTTCAAACACCATGTAACTACGAGGTGCGGTAAAGCGGTAAAAGTTGCCCAGCACATGCGCAGTTTCAACTCTATCATTCGGGGAGCAGCTCCTGGGCCATTGGTTAAGGCAGTAGGCATGTAGGTTGTCTCGCTCGCAACTTTTGGATCTGATGTCTGGTGGCCAGGGTCTAAACGCCCAATCATACGAGGAATATTTACATCCTCAACCTCCAACCTCCAACTTCTGCAGCATGATTTACAGGGCTAACCGGATGGGATTTCGGGCTGCATTTCCAGCAATGAGAACAACACCAAATGTAGTCCTTCACAGAGATGGGGTAATCCCGCCGGCCAAGGTCATACTTGAGGGAAACTGACTCCGACTTTCGGCAAAGCTTAAGACCCTTGATGATTGGCACTCTTTGAAGATCCACGCTTCCGTGTGCCCGAATGTCGGCACCTGAAAACACAAAAAGACTGCCAAGTTCTCAGCCAGACCAGAAATTCAGATGTTACGATTAAAGCGTGCTTATCGAGAGCTTCCGGAAGCAGAAGCCCCTGAAAGCCTGATGCCGGTGGTTTACCCACGGAATTCAGGCTCAAAGCAAATAGAACGCGAAGATTGCGTTAGATGGATTAGCGATGTGTCAGGAACGGACATTTGCGCATACTCGGATGGTTCATTAGAAGGACACGGACGCTCCGCCTGGGATTTCGTTCTGAAAAAAGATGGGAAACTCATCGGCAAAGGAAGTGGCGTCAATGTTGTGAAGTAATTACTGCATTTACTCTAAATTTATCCCTCCCAAGTGCCAGGGATACAACACATCTATGCGAGTACTGCACAGCCCTACATGGCCATCATTACGATCGACTATTGAGGCGCAGCTCTATACAATAGCATATTGTAATGTGGGATAGTATGGCATGGAATTAAGATTGTAGTACTTCCTGAATAGACGGTGATGTACTGTATAGCGGGTACCAAATATGTGTATATAAGTCTTATCTACTACTGTGATATGTAGATGAATATAACTAGGCTATTCATCATATCGTCAAGCTCTGATAATCGTTATCCACCCTCTGCACTATCCCTAGAATATTCAACATCTCATACCTACTCATACCTTAATCACAACACCAGTCGGTAACACTTGCTTTATACTAGGCATTTCAAGCTTTGTTGGAAATCTAGAATTAATATGTATGAAGGTATAGATTTCTGAGTATGATCACCAAGATCAATTGAAATGATTCGATTTCACATTATTAAACTCAGCTAGGCGACATGAGGTTCAGTTATATCTGAAATACAGTGACTATGAAATGCTACCTTGCGATAATTGAGTGGCTGGTTGTTGCTAGATCACTGGGGGTTTGGGATCACTAAAGCCTTGGGAATCTGTATTTAAGGATAGACTCATCCGTATATGTTAAAATAAGTTAACGGAATATTATATATTATTAATTCATATTGAGAAGAGAGTTCGATATCCTGTATAACTATCAATGAATTCTTGTCCGAAATCGTACATTTTTCTTTTGAGATATTTCCCCCTAGAAAACCTTGACAATTTCTAACAAATTGTGTGATCTATGAGTGAGCCTGATCACAACCGTAATAATTTGAGTTTCTTCTGTAGATTAGGATAAATAACTTACCTTACTTTCGGAATTGCCCTGGTGTTTATCATCATCAATTGATCCAGTGATAGCCTCGTGGGCCAACTTATTTGGTACTGCGAAATTTGACTGAACTTGGCCATGGGGGAAATTTTACTCCTGGGCTCGCAGAGGACGTTATGAAAAGTTGTTCGATCTTTGACGTACTAGAATTTCCTTCGATTTGATGAGGTGTCACAAATGATTCCATACATAGCGTTCATGTCTTACTAAACTGCAAAAATGATAGGAATATGTTAAACATGAGTACACTTGTCTACGTAATAGAGATAGCAGTTCCGATTTTACTATCCGAAATAATGTGCTTGATCCGTCGATTTAACTTATTCCTGTCCAGATTTTAAGGTTGTGGATGAGCTACAAAGTGAAACAAATAAATATCTAAAGCCAATCTGGCGATAGTTTTTCTTCTTATTACATATGTTTTTAATTTGAAATTTTTTGTATAAGAGCTCTTATAGTAGCGAAATTACACAATCCGTTAAGCACATTGATTAATTACTCCTGGACTCACCATCATTAGATAGCAAGACTACTCTTATCTATATTTAGTTGTTGCACGCCCATTGCTGAAATGCCGTTCAAATTGAAGCTGGACTATTTTTTGGTTTTATTTCTTTCCATTTCATCACTTAATTGCGAGAAATCTTTCCATTTACGCCAGCCATCAAAGTCTATAAGGGCCTGCATGCAACCCCACTCCATAACTTTTCGTTCAAGCCACAAAAAATTGACAGGCTACAAGAATTGTTACCAAATTTCATTGAAAGATTTTTGAAGGAATGGACTGCTAAGCTTACCTTCGTCAAGAAATCATTACAGCCAGCAGCGAGAGCCTCGTGCCTATCTGACTGCAAGCTAGATGCAGTAAGTGCCACTATAATGACGGGGGATTTAAACAAAGCGTCACTGGGGAGTTTATCATGTCCCTCCGCCTCACCAGCTATGTCCTGTGGCGCAGTCGAGCTAGCACTACTGTTAAAGACACCAATACTGTTTAGTCTCTCTAGCCTTCTTATTTCCCTAGTAGCATCTAAGCCACTCATAACAGGTAATTGAATATCCATCAATACCAAGTGAAACCCGCCAGTCTTCCACTTATCGACAGCGATCTTTCCATTTATGGCTGTTTGCCAGCGAACCTTGAGACGCTTCATGAAAGCTTCCAGTAGTTTGAGATTTATAAAATTGTCTTCTACAATCAAGACGTTGATCGGAGGCACACCACCATTAAGCCACAAGTTTGGGTGCTCGCTGACAGGTTTTCGACTTTTCTTTGGACGATTAGGACGTACTACCATAGTTGTTGGAGGAGTTGCAACGACTTGGCCCTGGACCGTATCTATAACTACTTGCGAGGCAGGTGGGGTTGGAAGGGGTGGCGGGGCAGGTGGTGGGGCTGCAGGCATTTTTTCCGATGCATTAGAGTGACCACGCGAGCGAGTTTGGGTATGCGCAGTGATGTGTGGTGTAATATTGTTGCTACTACTAGCTTGAAGCGTGCCTGCAAGTGTGGTAGGAGAAGATGTTTGTTGCCGATTCACACGTGGGCGTTCCCGGGGAAATCTCCGGGTTGTAATACTACCGGGCGAAGGAATTGCAGGAACATAGCCGGTCGTTATTACAGACATGGCATTAGTAGGTGCAGTAGAAAGCTGAGATTGTGAAGTTGCTGTCGCCATAGCTGTGATAGAAGGGCGTGGCGAAGAGGGAATGGGCATTGGAGGGAAATAGTCTGACCCTGCCTCTGCAGGTTGACTTTCGTTATGAAATTTGTGTGGTAGAGGGCTGGGCCTGGGCGTTCTTCTTTGAGGTACATCAATAATGAGTGCTTCATCAATTTTTTGACCAGTCGGGTAGTATGCATTCAAGACCTGTATAATAGACTCATCCGGCCCCAAAGTCCTTTCTTGTTTCGATTCTCGCGCCGATATCTTTAATGTAACATCCGGAGAGTCAAAGTTCCTTCCCAATGAATTTGCATATTTTTTCAGGATCATATCGCGCACATCATCAACCAAATCTTCTTTTTGGATCTGCACAAGCGTTGCTGAGGCCCCGGGGCGCTTGACCCAAATCTTCTGGCCCACCATATTGTTTCTAAGAGAGCTATTAGAGCAATCTCTAAAATTATACCTAAACCCTAAAACTCTCTTTGGATTTAAAATAAATTTGTTTGACCAAAATTTTTGACAAGTCAACGAGCCTAATCATGCAAGTGGCCAGCTACCTTCGGCTTGTCTTCGACAATTATCTTTCTAGAATCATCTGTTTAAACTTTTTGTATAAATGCGCCGTTGACGATAAAATGGAACTTCGGAGGCATCGCCATAAGTTGGGCGATACGTAGAAGGATAATAGATTCGAGTGATAGATTGCAGCCTGGATTAACATTAGTCCGTATAGCTTCATTCAGACATCACATTCGCGGCTTCCACCTTGTGCTCACGAAAACCCTCCGTAGATTTACTAGCCATCCATTAAAACAATAATGAATTACAAACTAGAGGGATACTCCGTGCATATATTTCAAATTGTCGCTTTCTGTCCTGCTTTAAACTAATCGAAGTGGAATCTCTTTTCTGAAAGCTGGGCGAAACCTATTCAAGATGGAGAGACGAGGGCCCATTGCTCTTATCCTTTCTCAGAATGGCTTTAGTTAGGGTATTTGTTGAAAGAGTGTCTCACCTGCAGAAAATTCGGATGTGGTAGGACAGTATGTACTGGCGCTAGCGAAGCGTTCAACATGTCGTTTCGACGTCTGTTTGGCACAGACTATCCATGATGCTCTCTGTCAAGGGTGGACATTAACGCTCGCATAGATCGAAATCAGGGGCTCCGGGTCGCAAGTAAGTGCTATCAGCTGCTATGATTGATAGGGTTGGAGTTGTAGCCCAACTGGATTTCTCGCTGGATCCTCTTTTAAATGGTGAAATTGCACGACTCTAGTCCTTAGAAAATACAAGATCAAGGAACCTAGTCTTCTCAAAGCTCCCGAGAGCGCAAATTCTACCCAGGCAGATAAGCATATGGGAGAAACTAGACGTAAAGGGAATTTTAGGATGCAATCCAACTACATAAAGATGTTCATGTCATTGAGACGGGGAGTTAGTGTTACATGTTACAACAGTAGTTCAGGCTAGGTTAAGTAGCTTACTTAACTGAGCTTCAAGAAATGATTTTAAGGCCGGTAATAAGTATGTAGCAGAACTCTTCAGCTGGCGCTCTCGAAAATATATTGCTGCAGTTTAGATTGTTAATCTGGGCAACAAACCTGGAAAGTATACGATCTATTTTGAGATGAATTTGGACCTAATATATCTACCTAGGCACACACAGCCCCGTGGCATAGTACTCTCCCTTCTATGCCGCAAAAATCGCATCGTCTGACATACATTGGACATTAAGCTGCGAAAAATTATTGTGATGTCGATTAAAACATGCAACAGCCTTGCTTCTGAGGTGATTGCTGGAGTTGAATTAATCAATATCAGCATTGATTTTTTAAATCATTCAATGTGTATTCAGCTATCTAGCCATGACACATGACCAGTGCAATAATTCCTGAATAAATTCGAGAAAATCGATGATACCCTATTATCATCTCCCTTACCCTTTGATTCGCATACATTTACACAAATTCGACTTCTCATAGCAGCAAGACCCCAGATCTCCAACATGTCTCCGGGGCCTGCCAAATGATCGCGACTTATTCGCCATAAAAGAATTGTGGACAAAACGAATACCAAGCTGAAAAAGCACTTGGAACGCCAAAGAATACCATTGAGCTCGATAGACGGACAAAAGATGGAATTGGACATAGCCGAGAGGATAAGAGCCTTCGAAGAAGACTCGAACTCCACAAACCCAGATGTTGAGATGGGTGATGCATCCATCAGTCAATATATGAAAGAGGGTCTTGAAAGCTCGAGGTGGAATATACGGGAGCCGGAAGACGGTCAGGCCTCAGAGGCCCCCGTCAATATAAACACAATGAAGATTGCTGTGCCGGCCATGAAGCGGACACCTAATGTTGACGCAAAAAAGGCCGACTTGGCCGCGTCCACCACAACCCCTCAGAATATCATTCCGGGGGAAATTGGTAACAATCAAACTTCTTGCAGCGATAGTAGCTTCAAAAAAACTGCGACTTGTCCTCCCGAGCTTCGAGCCATAATTGAAACCAAAAAACAGCGGGCGGCCCAGACCGCAACTAATCTCACTATATGCACCGCTGCTATTAATGACGTGGAGAATGTGATCTCACCTCTATCCAAAGGGTCGAGCGTTCAATTTATAGACCCCATGAAAGTCTACCTCCGAGCTACACTAGCTCAATATATGATGTCGGGACCAGGAACAGTCCTTTCCAACCTCCCCCCACGACCAAACTGCCAGAAATATGGCGGGATGATCTTGGAACAAACGATTGAAAAGCAGCCAGAGCTGCTACAAAAAGTGACCCAGGCCAAGGTGACTTAGGTCAAATCTACCTGGGCGACAGTTACCCGTACTGGACTCAAGACGCCCGTGGCATCAACGAAAGACGTTCGATTCCACAACAAACCCTCCGTATTAGCGAAATCTCCAGCAAAGGCTACGACAAAAGCCGCCCAAGACGATCGTTTGTTTCTTCGACTCGGCAAAGACCACGCCTGGCGCGCTCTCTCGCCGGCTGGTGTACGAGAAGCGGCAGCAAAAGTGCTCGAGCTTCCTCCGCAGAATATTGAACATGTATACCGTGTTCCGACTGGCTTCGCACTTCGAGCCAAAAACCAGGAAGCACGACAGCTTCTTGTAAACTCTGTTGCATCATTCGTCCAGGTAGACGCAGAGTTGGGGAATGCCTCAGATCTAGTGGCCCTTCGCATGCGACAATTCCCGTCGCAATTCACACACTCCTAGGCAAAGTAGTTGTCACCGACGAGATGGTAGCGGATGAAATCCTCCAAGTCACTAAAAAGGTTCCGGTAAGGGTTCGCCCTCATAGAAAAGGGAGAGTGGAAGACCCCTACAAGATATGGGTAGCTCATTTCGAAAGAGTTTCCGTCCCTAAACCAGACTTCCGACTGTCTGATGGCCCGGGAATCGCTGTTCGCCATCAGCCACGCCAAACTGTGAGCCAATGCAAGCGATGTCTCATATACCACGAGACTCAAAGTTGCTCGCGCACCCCAGATTGCTGGAACTTCACCTCAACAATGCATTCCACGCCGGAATGCAAAGAGTATACAAATTGCCGCAACTGTGGGGGGCCCCACCAATCTGACAGCCGAGATTGCCTATGTGGAACTAAACCGTGGGGTGTTAAGTGTGTAATGCATGTGTGGGTTTTATGGAACAAACTAGAACTCAATAGAATAGAGATAACGGAATCAGCGAGAGACTGATGGGCTGATAGAGAACGAACTGCTCATTTCTCGTAGGAGAGAAATGATATCACAAGGAAATGTTCTAGCACTTGGCTGTGAACAACACAGTAAGTCTGGAGCAAGACGTCAGGAGGTCACAACCTCCGTCCATTCATTATAACTAAGTTTCCTTTTTACGAGAATATAGATTCAAGTCTTACACATCACGAGAACACACGCGACAGCGATTATAGAGACCTACTGTGAGTATAACTTCCCCAAGAGTATCCATCGTCCTGCTCCTATATAGCCTAGTTAAAATAACAGCCTGGCTCGCACCGCCAAGTCTGGAACGGCCTGGAGAGAAAATCTCTCGACTATCAGACAAGCTAGCCAACGCGAGTATGCCGCGGTGGTCCGAGCAAAAACTGCAGTTCGACAAGCAGAGGCCGCTATCAAAGCAGCGGCTGAGACGGACAAAATAAGTCCACAGAACTACAGCTCTGACAACACCTTTGAAGTTCTAATGACGGATGAGATGCCAAACGTGACTGAGGTCACACAGGCGGTCATCCCGAAAAATCATTCATAAAGGGCGCCCCACGGGCCTCTTTCCGCCTTTCTCCTACTCTAAATTTCATATCAATAAACTTAGGTAGAGGGGATCCGACATAGAATATTGCACTCGCCCGAGCATTTGAGCTGAATATCGACGTTGTTCTAATCCAAGAGCCTCGGTGGAAGGAAGAGACAATGTCGCATCCTGGATATATTTGTCATCTACCTCATAGTGGCGAAAAGGTCAGGCAAAGGGCCGTGACCTACACCCGGAAAGATAATAGGACGATATCAGCGAGGCATCTCTTCTCCTGCGCTAAGCTGACGGGCGACTATTGCTGGGTAGTAGTGAATGGAATCACTTTCCTCAATGTGTACAAGGCGCCCAGAGACACATCAGTCGTACAGCCACTTATAAATTGGACCCCGCCGCCGAACTCAGTCGCTGCGGGTGATTTTAATTCGGTGTACTGTGCCTGGCAACCAGGAGTTACCCGTCCCTACGGACAAGGCGAAATAATTGATTGATAGGCTGAAGAACAACATCTAACTTGCCTTATCATCGGAGAACCCACACGTCAAGCTGGAAACACCTTGGACCTTGCCTGAACCAACATTAACGGTAGCCGTGCATGGGTAGACCGTGATGAATGTGTCACTAGCGACCATTTTCCCATCCGAGGAATAGTTCCGGTCCAGTCTGCAGTATTAAGACCCAAGCTAGCCAAGATTCGAGTGACTAGAGAAAAACTCCCAAAATTTGCGCGAGCTGTTGCTAAATTGGTTCATTTGCCGCCACTCCTAGATACGATTCAAAAGGTCGAAGACTACGCCCAGGAACTTTGCTCCCACTTCAAGACTGCCATCAGTGCAACAGGAACTCGATCTAGAGCAAACGCCGGTAAATCTGCCCCATAGTGGACCCCCGGCGTGCAAGGCTGCAAGGGCCGAATACCAAGCGGCCACAACACCCCTCCAACGTTCTGTGTACGCCAAAAAGCTCCAATCAATTCTCAGAGCCGCTAAAAAGGAATATCAAGCACAGCTAGTCGAAAAATTGATCACGCCGAACGATGTTTTTAGCTTGATGAGAGAGGCTAGTCCTAGACAGTCAAGCATTCCTCCACCTCTTAACCACAATGGAGTTCTCATCTCTGATCCGCTAGAGCCAGCCACAGCTCTCC